TAAAAATGTTTCTTAAAGTGTATGGAAATGGAGAAAGTGTTGAACACAAAATAATAAACATTTTCATAGAAATGCTATTAAAAATAGTTTCACAAATCAATCAAGATTTTTATCATGTCTCCTAGCTTTTTATCTCATTCATTTTCATATTCAAACATGTATGCTGCTTGTATATTTTACAGGATGTTTTATTTCCTATTTCCTGAAACTGTTTTATAGTTTCAACTGTTTTTTGAAAAAAATGCAGAATTTCTAGAAAGCTTATTTATGAAGTATTCCAAGGAAGAGACTTTTATCGTAGACTGAAATGAAGATAATGCACTTAACTCTTTTAATTTAAATTATACAGAAATTAAAACTTTTATGTTGTGATGGTACTGTAGGTATACTGCACATACATTATAGATAAGTTAAATTAACAAAGGGTGGTGGAAATTTGCAACAGAAAATACAGCCATGTTGTTGAAGCCGATAGCCAAGACTCCTTTATGAAATGGTTGGATGAGATTCTCGGATCCTTTAGATCAAAGACGTAGCTTAATGGACAAACAGGCACTTCTCATTTTTAACCTTTTTATATTCTTAAGTCATTTAAAGGTTCACATACTGTTCAATTTATAGATCATATAACCTCTATGTACTGAGAAAAAAAACACTGGTAAAAAGTAACAATTTAACTATAAAATGGCTTTTATCACTAGGTGGGCAAGTCTAATACACTACACAAAGCTTAAGGAAGAGTCCTATGGAAAACTAATTGTTGGTATAATTTATACAATCATGTTTACATTCCAGATGAATAGGTTTTATTATTGTATTTTATTTTAAGGGAATTTAATATTTTTTATTGGACTTATTGAGTTTTTCTGCATATCTACTGTATGTTGCGCGTATTTACACATTCAGCCACTTAGTACAGTGCAGTACGTATAAGAGTTTTACAAACTTTGATATGTTTAACTTTGGTTTCAAAATAAAGTCTCTTTTTAACATGAGACTTATGTGAACTCATGAACGCAATATTTTGAAACAAAGTTATGCTTAGAAGAAATCTATATCAGTTATAAACTATTTAATATGGATGACAACATTATAATGACCTTGAATTAATTTGTTCAAGTTTACTCTGAAGAAAATCAAAACAGCAGTTATTAAATGTACTGGCTACTACTTTGAACAAGTCTAGCTGATGTTATCATAAAGAAATGAGAAACTTTTTAAAGTTAGTTTTAAAAAATATTCCTTGTTACAATATTTTAGACAATACAACTTTTAGACTGGAATGCCAAGCTATTTTCATTAACTTGTCAGTTACTGTAGAAATAACTGCATCTCTTGCAAAATGTGTGCACGCATACAAAAATGTGTGCAAGTGGAAATTAAAGACTCTATCATAAATCATACATCGTACTTACTTTTCAAAAGATATTTGAGGTAAGAAAAAATGGTGTTAAAACAGACTTGCATGTATACTAAATGAACAAAAAGAGGCTTATTACATGCTGAACAGTAAACAAATAAAGAAGATAAAACATTTTTTTGTGAAATCTTCTTTAGGTGTGTGGGGGAATCACTGAGAGATCAGAAATACAACGGTTAAAAGAACAAAAGAAAGATGTTGTGAGAACTAGTAGGAGGAAATAATAATTATTCAAGTAATTTCTTTCTAAATCTCTGAATTTATTTGAAGGTTTCTGCCATCCACTCTGCCCCTGGAATTTATCTTCCAATTTTCTATCTCTTTGCAACCATTTTCTCACCTCCCCCTCGTCTACTTCTCACAGTCTTCCCTTTGTCCTCCTTTCCTTCATACTGCTGCTCCCTTCCACTTTCCCCCACATTCAGTACCAAAAAATGGCTCCATAGGTAAAACGTATTTTTCTTCTTTTAACTTTTTACCATAAAATTAACCTCTGTTCCTTGCAACATACAGACTGACTCAGATCCCCACTATAAAGTCTTCAAACACATGTATTAAGACATACAGTTCATATTTACAGCACATACTGTGACATATACTGTATGCATACTGCACACGCAAAAATAAACAAGTGGAATATAACAAGGTTTCAAAGTTTGGAAATATCTCACTACTTAAAAATACAACTGAGAAAAATATAATGAAAAATATGTTCTGTAACTGTCTTTGTGATGTGATGGGAAATTTTTGTACTGTATTTATGGTCTGTTATAGCGTTCATATACGTTTTGCTTTCAATCATGTGGGGATATTGTTTTAACTCATCATTTAATGTTACCTTTCGCAATTAGAAGTAACTTCTGGCAGTACATTCAGAAAATTTAATCTGGACAAGTGATGTGCAATAGAAAAGGGAGGGAAACAGCAAAACTGTGGGTCAGTTACTGTAATAATATATAGCAGAAAGATTTTCGTAAAATTAGCTTTTGTTTAAAAGAAAGTGGAAATAAACTCTTCAAATGAGACATAAAGATAATGTGAAGATTGTTTTTAAAACAAGTGTTGGAGATGTTGGTTTGATGTTCTTCCTTGCAAGACTGTTATGGGTCTGAAACGTTTATTTTTTACAGCAGCTTTTTTTTGTATTGTATGTATGCAGTATAATTGTTATCTTTAAAATTATTAGCAATACTATTAACAAATGTCCTTTATTGTGAATGCACACTAAGTTTGACTTTGAAGTTTCATAATCCAAAAAACTTCATTTAAAATGACACTTCTTATTTTAATAGCATAAACCATAAATACAATTTTAATATATTGTATTTTTTTTATTCCCAACTGCAAAAGCATACTGCATGTTGGTGCCTACTGAAGAGCGCTATGCTGAGAATACAAAGCACTTCATTCTCCACGGTTACTGGCCAGTAGTAACCTAATAATCTCTTCTCTCTTTATTGTACAGTCCCTTAGGAACGTAGTATACTGTACATACAGTACAGTAAATAACTGTAGATCCAAAGACATATACAGTATATTTGCTCCACTTTAGTATTAAGAAGCAACTGCAAATGCTGCTCTAATATTTTAACAGTTGTTTTCTTTCAGGATGAAAATAGTAAAGTAAACCTCAGCATTGCAACCTCACCAGCTCTTGGCTCCAAGGTGTGTTTCTGGGCTGTGTCATATTCTGTGTGGAGTTTGCATGTTCTTATGGGTTTTCTCCCGGGTACTTAAGCAATGCCTCTAAACCGTCCATGCGTTTGTCCATCTGTGTCTGTGCACAATGCAATAGGCTGGCTTTCTAAACAGGGTTTGATCCTGCCTTACAACGCTTGTTCTTTGGCAACGCTCCAGATTGCCCCGACCTTAAACGGCAACAGTAGGATTTCTGGTAATGGATGTACTGTATATTTGTCTTCTTCTTAATGCATCTGTGGTATTCACGTTTTCCTGCCTTTTAGTTTCGCTTTCATCTGACCAAATCAACAAATTAGGCACCATGAGCCACTGTGTATTCCCGTTCACCATCTCTCCTCAGAACAACATAGGCACCACGACGATCTGGATTTGAAACTAGTTGTGGCAGAAGTCATAATAAACTTTGTAAAGTTTTTTTTTTTTTTACAGCACCTTTAAAAGCAATCTTCTCAATGCGTTTTACAGCACATAAGGAACACATACTGTATCGGTAATTTACAAATAACTTAGATGAAAACAGGACAAATACAAAAAAACAACCACAAAAGCACATCTTAGAATTTAAGTTTTTAGGCTAGATTGTACAACACTCAATGTGAGTAACTACCCAGCGTGTCTGTGCACGGTGGGAGAAACCAGAGCACACGGAGATAACCCGCATTAACATGCAGACAACTAGGCGCGCATTGTATTTCAATAACGCAGTACAGGGGGCTACCAAACTGTTAGAATTATCACTATACTGTTACTGTACCCATGGAATCCTTGGTCTGAATAATAAATACAACACAGTTTTCCGATTCCTGACTTCTTTTATCAAGGGTGTGTCCATTTGCAATATTGCTATAATTTCAGCATTTGCCCTGAACATGAAATAAAATAAGTTAAGGAGACAGAATAATTCGAGGAAAACGTTATGTTTAAGTATTGCTGAGCTCCTTGTGAATTTTTAGCTTTTACATACACTAATATGTACCTGGGTTTAAACATGCCGAGACCCCAAAAGAACAAGAGAACTGAAAAAGCGAGAACATTTTAAAACATCAGAAAGAAAATGCTACTTGGCCTAATAAAAGATGACACTTATTGAATTTATCCTAATTACATAATAGAACCGCCGGACTATTGCAGTATATAAAGTACACTAGGACGTTTATCATGTTTGTTAAAAAGCTGAGCTGTCAATATTACGCCAATATAAAGTATGTGGAGACTGAAAGCACGAGGGAGCAGATATTCAAAAGGGTCCAGAGAATATAAAACCCATAATGTGCTCATATAAACTGTACCTACTACATATTAGAGTACCGTGTTAAAGTTCTGAATGCAGTTTAAGAGCCCATTTTAAACAGTCAATGTATTAACGCATTAAAAGCAAAATGTTTACATTAGTACACCGAAAGCTTACGACTTAAAATATAAATATAAAATGTAAATATAAACTAAATTAGGTTCCAAATTCTACATCACAAAATTGTTTAAAAAATCACCTTTTTGTTTATTCTTTTAATTATGAGATACTAATGGCAAAAAGCTGTTGTTAGTCTGTTACATATTATTTTTTCTACCTACTGTGTGTACTGTTGAATATTTCATGTAACTACAACAGTATTTTATGAAATACAAGTATAAAACATTGACAGTTTACTTAAATAAAAACTAAAGTCTGTAACTTGCTTTTATGTTCTATTCTTCAACACATGTGGTGTACTGTACATTTAACGCAGGCAACTATACACATTCATATTGAACAATAAAATGTGTAGCATTTATAGCAGCAACATGAAAAACTCGGCAATGTCTGATTTGTGGGAACATAATGAATCTGACAAACTTTAATTTATGTTTTAACTAGTCCTAATTAAAAAAAAATGCTTACCTGATGTCCGTGTAAGGTACTTCCATCCAGTCACCCATCTCGTTTTTCAAACATGAAGAACTGGTATATGGCACCCTGCCCACCATTCCACCTGAGTACCATTGTTCTGGTGAAACTCCATCCTCTGCAACCAGACCACAGCTTCTTCCGTATCCATAAGCATTACAAGCAAAAGAACTACCGGTACCTTGGCCGGTATTCTGAGGATGAGTAAATTGTCTAATGAGTCCGTAAGGTGTATTACCATTATCACTGTATCTGTACTGGACAGGCCATACGTCCGCATGTTCGTTGCTTACTTCTTTCTTAATCCTGACTCTATACTCTGGCGGGTAAGCAGCGACTTCTTCTGAGTTCTCTTCGGATGCATTAGGAAAAGCTTCACATTTGTACAAGCCATGAGACGCAACGTTGCCTTGCTCCACTGACAATGGGTCGTTTTGACCATAGGCTGCTGGGTTCGGTCGCACCGATTGGTCAAACTGGCAAAAGACAGTGTGTCCTCCATCCATATTCATGTGGTTTTCGGAGTCCTCGCAAGTTGCGTTACTCAGCTCTGCATTCAACCTTGACTCGTGTCCATCCTGTTTAGAATGCGCAGCACTAATATGCTGCGAAGGGACTACCTCAGGCGTCGTGTTTGCGTGGACTCTCTTTAACATCCGAATATTCTCATGACTTTGCACTGATGGTCCATCATTTGCAATGGGGCATTTGTAGTCTGTTACCGTGACACCTGTTCCGTTTGCAGAACGGTCTGCTAAATGCATCTGAAAGAGATAGTTTTCTTGACTTCGGTCACTAACAAGAGATGGATCGTGACTTGTTCCCAGGTCATTCATCTCATTTGGGTCCATGTTCAAACCCAAAGATACTGAAACGGCTTTGCAGAGCTCCCGTGCAGTTTCTGATATGGTAGTAGAAGCAATATCGCTATTACTACTCTCTACGAGGGCGTCACCGTGAGTTTTAGTCTCCTTTCTGTGATGGGGCGGAATAGGTATGGAAGATTTTTGTTCCGTGTTGCCTTGCAAGCCAGGGAGAAAGCCGTAAGCTCCCTCCTCCACATCATCTGCCTTTGTCACAGATGAGAACTCACTTCTGCTGCCCAGTAATCTTTTCGCAAAATGGCTAGATCTGGCTAAAACATCGGTCTGTCTGGGAAAGCTAATACTCTGGACTTCCTTTACGCCGGTGTCAGAAATATGCGACGTTCCAATGCATAGTCCTCTGTGGGGCAACTGCCGGTTAGTTTGGCGCATTTCCCAGGGGTCCGAGTTCTGCAAAACACTGTACTTTGAACCTGGAAAGTCTAGGGTGTCGCAGAGTGCGCTGTTACTCTGAAACGCAGTTCGCACGCTATAGAAGACGTTTTGGAAAGCTCCACGAAACACAGTGTTCGGGGAGTCACAAACTCCTCCTAACCCAACCGGAATCTCCATAGCCCACAGTCAGCGTCTTTCAGGCACTGCGATAGGTTGTACGGTTATTTGTAAAGCCTCTCTGGTGTACACGCAATTGAATAATTCCATTAACTACAGAAAAAAAGTTTCTTTCAAAAACTTTTATAATTATTTCGAGCGATAAAATGACTTGGATACCAACAGCCCAGAATTGAATAGGAATGAAACTTATCTAGACATTGCTAGGAATAAGAAGGCGGCAGAACTGGTTTTATATAAAACAAATAAAAGACATATCAGTTATTTTAGTTCGGTTCGGAGACTAGCATTCAAAAGGTATACATGCGATATTTTCCACAGAATTGTATAGCTAAAGATAAAAAGCTCAGCGCATTAATTTAAAACCGATATACAGAACGAAAGCTGCACCCAATACACCAGTAGCAGTAAAACTACAGCCAACAAAATCCTAATTTAGTAACAGATAAAAAGAGAAGATGGATCCAAGAGGCCACAATGTTCAAAACCCAGACACAATAAAATGCATCTCTTCAACAATTCGAATAATAAAAAAGTTTTAGCTATTCTCTCGGACGTTTGTCCTTTGAAGGCTGTATTCTTCTGAGCCCTTTTCTCTGCCAATACACGATGACAACATGGATTTCTTTAGAGGAAATGTATTTAAAAGATGTTGTCGCTAGATCGGTGTGCTTCGGTCCAGGCTACTTTCACCATACGCAGTCGAAGCTTTCTTACACTTTTGACCGTCGAAAGCATTAGCAGTCCTGGCTAAGAATATTTATTTTCCATCTGCTTGTGACCTACCGGCACGGCTCTCTGTTCCAATGTTAAAAGCTTGTGTTTTCGCAATGACTGCCTGTTTTGCTGCAAGTTTACGTAAAGCAACAATGCTATCTTCCAAAGTCCTTGCGCTACTGCGCGTCTTTTCGCTGTCTGCCAGTGAGTTTGGCATCCAGCCCTGCTGGCTGAAAAATATGAAATTTCCTGGGTTACGGCCAGTCTGCAGTGTCAATCAAAACAAAGTTTAAAAATATAACCAAGAGGAGTAATGATCAACTTGTTTCACCGTTAAATAATGGTTAGAAGTAACTATGAACACAAAATGTATTTTATAGTTACTTTGAGATAAGATTCCGGGATTTTTTAACCACTGCGTGGGTTTGCAATGAACATGCTTCGTAGTAGTAGTAGTAATAATAATAATAATAATAATAATAATAATAATAATAATAATAATAATAATAATAATAATAATATGTGTTGTTATTGTTATTATTCAGAGCAATAATCTGGAAGGTTTCTTAAATTCCATAGATGATATTAACTGTGTCTTAAATGTAACTTGTAAATATTTCTTAATAGTCCTAGATAAATGCTCTGGAATGAGAACCGCTTAAGAATTTAAAATTCTACAGTGAATTACATTTAGTCTGTAACTCTTTTCTGCCTTCCCCCAGGACATTTCGGGATGAGACGGCTGGCTGAGTTTTGGGAGTGTACTCTGAGGTTACGGGAGGTAAAACAGTGGGACAATTGGGACTTCACCATGTACAGATCGAATCAATTGCTCCAAAGCGACTGGAACAGTCACAGACTGATTTGCTTCGTGCAAGATGTGCACGCAACGTTAGGCTTATTATTGGGATCTGAGCTAACCAACGCGAAGAAACTTAAGTTTCTGCGGTAAAGCGCAATTGCGATATTTTTCATACAGTATACAGTATGTAAATAATGCTTTCGTCGTCGTACTGTATATGTGGTCAAAAAGTTTGTTAAAAAAAATCAGTAGTTGTTTTTGATAACCTCTGACCTATGCATGCATCATGTGTGATGGATAAACAATAAATGTTTTGTTAGGTCTATCTGCGGAGATCTACAGTAGCTAGCGTTTTTGGTGATTTGCAGTTTAACCAATCAGAATAGCTCATCTAGCAGAATTTAAAGTAATGCGATTGAATAACATAACTGGATAATTACGTCACCCGCACTTCTTTTTGTAAAGATAGGTTCCATATTTTCTGTCTTGAATGTCCTTTATGTAAAGGTAAAATTATTATTTCATTAACACATAGGCTAATCAGTAATCTTTGTAACCTTTCCCTTCAAAGTTATGTATTGTCTCTATCACAATGATACTATACTTGATATTGACAGTTTACAGTCTACAGTTATGTATTTACACAGGGTGATAGGCATCCATGCACTCACTGGAAGGCTTCTTGAAATCATAAGAATTTTCAGTTTATTTTGTTGTTAGTGAACAAAAAAAACTTTTCTGAATTTCTTTCTGCATTCTTGAAATAAAGGCATACCAAATTTGCAAAACCACCTGTCAGTATTTTCTTGCTGAATTCAAAGATAAAAGTATGACTTGATGACAGCCTAAACTCTCAGCAATAGAAAAGGTAAGGACAGAATTTTTTGGCAAGAACCCAAAACGTTTTTTTTCCCTTTTTTGGGTGTTTTTTTTAGACAGATATACTATTGAAAGGCCATTGCATTGCAAATTGCAACCCTTACGTACACATCTATACCAAAAACAATAAAAATAAAGGCTGTTTTATCCTTGTCTGGAATTAAGAAAAACTTAAAATCTTGATTATGCTTATAGATAATTTGTCCCAAAAAGAATCAAATTGGAAAATAAATAGAACAATTCATTACACAACTTGGGGAAATCTAAAGTTCTTTATCTGGTTAAGTAAAATACATTTTTGGATTTGTTTTTTTTATCACAAAACAGTAGTATCTACACTTATGTGGGAAAAAACTGCAGATGGTTAGATACAGTACTTTAGCAGGAGAAAAATAACTATTCAAAAGCTTGTTTTTGGTATAAAATAAACGTCATACAAAACTCTTTTCGTAACCTGTCTTCACTGTTTTTTATTATCCTTGGTATTTTCAATAGTTGTAACTGCAGAAGTACAACAGTGTCTCGCACAAAATGCATTTCTACTTCAAAAACTATTTATCCTAAGATATTACTTAATTTAGATGTCTATTATTCATAATGTATTATGACGTAACTAAGGACTGATAATTCTATAGTTAGTTCTGAAATCTTAAATCTTAAATGTGACCTTAACTAACCTTTCCAGTTATTTACTTGTAAGCTTTATTACTAGGCTGCAATTACTCTCTATTACTGTTTAAGATACTGTTAAAAAGAAACTTGTGGATGTCATTGAGTGCTGAAGTTTCACCTAAAAGGTTTCAGTTCTCCTACTAGTGAAAAACATTTTTTCAACTTTCATTTGGCACACAAATTAACTTTATGAAAGTTTCACTTACGATTGTGTATTCTATAAAATTATGATATGAGTGATTCTTCAGTTCAGCTGACTTAAGTATCTGCATATGAAAAGGGCAGTACTACAGCTGGCTTGGCAATGTCTTTATAATCTTTTCAACTACTGAAAGGATGTGTTTTGGAAAACTTGGCTGGTATACTTTAATAGGGCCACTTGGATAAATACACATTATTGATACCTCTGTTGTACCCTTTTTTGACTAAGTAAAGCTTTGTAAACTCTAGTGCCACAAATGTAATACCTGTTCTAAGTACCCAAATCTCCCTGTCTTCAGTTCTAAAACAGAAAAGGACTCATGTAAGCCACAAGACATAACTCACTGAATACAAAACACTCACTGTTTGATTTTGGTCCATACTAGACAGGATTCAGCAACATCTGTTTCTCACAGAATACATGACTTTTTACTGGCAAAACAGCTTGAAATTTACAGTGTGAGGTAATTGTTGTTATTTTTTGCTTAATATACTGTAGAATGTAAGTGAAGAATGTCATTAGTATGGAATATAGCTTTCATGTTTTCTTTAATTTAATGACATACTGCAACATCAACACACATATATTTCTTCAACATGAAAATAGTATTAAGAAGAAAACAGTTATATGTGTAAAAAGATTACAAATAAATAATTTAAAAATGGTTGACTAGTGTACCTGTCATACAGTTTTACATAAGTAATGGCCCCATACACTGAATTAGATGGGCAGAAAGCCATCCCTTTTACTTCTTTGATTTTTCTCCCTTATAATTAAGAATTAATACTGCATCCATCCATTTTGGTGACCTGCAGACTATGGGGACTTTGCTAAAGCTTTAGTATTATTAAAATAAGGAAGGTCTCCTTCTAGATTTCAGAGATAGAGATAAAAGAACAACTGTAATCCCTTGATTCCCCTTCCTAATGTATATATAGAAAGTCTGCTGCTCAGTCCAAATGCTGAAAGAAAGCATGCTGTCCAGAAGAAAAGAGAAATTAAATACTAAATACCACAATTCTGAAATATCTTGGAGCAATCTATACCTGGCAGGGAATCAGTATATTCATATGAAATTTAGATGAAGTATCCATTTGGTAATGGAGAACATGTCCATTATAGTTTCTGAACATTAGTAGCAATGGAGCAATTATGTATTTTCCATATGCATACAACACCCAAAAATACAATATATTCTCAATATAGTTACCTCATTCATACCTATTATATAATATAAAGGTGAATATCCTAGAAAAACTGTGAACTGCACAGTGCCATTATTTTTACACATGTAATGAAAGGCTCTTGCTGTAATGTATTGTTTTCAATGTTTGCCCGAGTGCAGCGGCCCTCCATTTAGTCACTGGCATGTCTCTATAATAAAAATAATTGCTCACATAACAATAGATAAGACAACAAGTAGACCTGGTTCATCTATTCAAAATCTTCAAAGGCTCTGACAAGATCAGACCTATGGATGTCTTTTCCACAAAAGTGGAAACTGGGTTGTTCACTGTTAAAATGTGAAGTGGAAGCACCTTTATTACATTAATTAAGGGTAAGAATCTAGACGAAACAAGTCAACTGTCACGACCACTAACCTGCCCAGACCAGCCCCCAAGAGGACTAATCAGTACCAGCAGCAGGGTGATAATTACAAACGCCGCCGCACGTGTTAATTTCTCATCAGATGCCTTACCGTGCGGCAGGCTGCATTATTCAAGCCTCCCTTACCCGCATATCGCTGCTCGGTATTGAGTTCACTTCTTGTAAGCTCTACCTAGCGTTTCTTTAACTTTTGCCTTCCTTGGATTCTGACTATACCTTTTGCCTTCGGACTTCGGATCTCATCTCGCCCCTTGGATTGTTTGCTATCTGTGTCTATTTCGGATTTGACCCTGCCACTCTCTTTTCGACCTTGATTCTGTCTCACATCTTGGATTGTTCGCCACCAGTGTCTTTACCGGATCTTGACCTACCTTACACCTTTGGACTACGATTCAGCTCCTGGTTTCGGTCTGTTCGCTTACTTACCTCCCAACGACTCCTGCATCTGCATCGGATCCTTTTCACCTCTTCAGAGTCGCGTTACACCAGCTTGCTCTCCATGAGACACACAGGCACATAAATGAGGAGAGAGAAGCTTGAGGTCAGAACACAGGGTCAGCCATTTATAGGGCACCCCTGGAGCAGCTGAGGTTAAGGGCCTTGCTCAGGGGTACAATGGTGTAGGATTCCTCTGCCAGCTGCAGGACTTGAACTAGCAACTTTCCAGCCACAGGGGCAGATCCTTAGCCACAGAGCCACCGCACCACCCCTGGTCTCCACATGAGAAAAGTTTTTGCATAGCAGTTTCCAGAGATGGAAAGGACCAACTTCATCCACTACTGAAGTGATGTGCTATCGCCATTAGAAAAATTACTTTATCTGTTCAATTAAGAGGGAAATTTTGGGAGACCACTTTCTTCAAGAGCAAAGTGGGGCTAAAACACCTGATTCTTACGAACCGTGACGCAGAAACATTAATGACCATGTAGTCAAAACCTCAATTACACTTTTCATCTGAAAGACAGTACCTCCCATAGTCATTCTACTGGGGCATTGGTTTGGGGAAGAGTGCCACTTACTGGTCCACCAGTAGCTTACAGCAGCTGCTTGGTTC